TTTCCATATAGTACTAACAGTGAACACTTTGTGAAGGAAATTAACAGTTTCATTTAAATAGCATCAAAAAGAATAAAATACATAGGAATTAACCAAGGAGGTGAAAGGCTTGTACATGGAAAACTACTAAACATTGTTGAAAGAAATTAAAGAAGACATAATTAAATGGAAAGACATCCTGTGTTCAACTGTGTCCATTTAAAGACATAATTAAATGGAAGGACATCCTGTGTTGGAAAATTAATATTGTTAAGACGTCAGTACTACCCAAAGTGATCATCAGAGGCAATGCAATCTTATTAAAATCCCAACGGTGTTTTTTTTTTTTAACAGAAATATAAAAACCTATCATAGGCCAGGTACAGTGGTTCATGCCTGTAATCCCAATATTTTACAAGGCCTAGGAGTTCAAGACCAGCCTGGGCAACATAACAAGACCCTAGCTTTACAAAAAAAAGAAAAAAAAGTGGGGTTTGGTGGCACATGTCTGTAGTCATAGGTACTTTACAGGCTGAGGCAGGAGGATCAGTTGGGCTCAAGAATTTGAGGCAGCAATGAGCTATGATCAGGCTACTAAACTCTAGTCTGGGTGACAGGGGAGATTGTCTCTAGTTTAAAAAAAAAAGAAAAGAAAAGAAAAACCCATCCTAAAATTCATATGGAGTCTCTAGGAACTGCTAATAGCCAAAACAATCTTGAAAAATAACAAACTTAGCGGCTTCCCACTTCGTGATGTCAAAATTTACAACAAAGCCACAGTAATCAGGATGGTGTGGTTTGAACACTGTACTTTCCTGAGAAAGAAAAGACAGACATACAGACCATTGGAACAGACTAGAGAGCCTGGAAATAAACTCTTGCATATATGGTCAAATGATTTTCAACAAGGGTACCAAGGTAGGGAAAGGATAGTCTTTTCAACAAATCATGCTGGACATCTGGATATTCACATGCAAAAGAATCAAGTTGGATTCTTACCTAACACCATATATAAAAATGACTCAAAATGGGTTAAACATAAAACTATGAAACTCAGAAGAAAACATAGGGCAAAACTTCATAGCACTGGATTTGGCAATGATTTAGATATAACACCCCCATCACCACCAACACATAGACAAATTGGACTTGGAAATTAATGACATTTTAATTTAATGGAAACAAGAAACTTCTGTGTATCAAAAGACACTATCAACAGAGTGAAAAGGCAGCCTGTGGAGAAATACTTGCAAATCATATATCTGATAAAGGATTAATATCCAGAATATCTAGAAAACTCTTACAACTCAACAACAAAAACAAAAATCCAATGAAAAATGGGCACAGGACTTGAATAGCCATTTCTCCAGTGAAGATATATACAAATGGTCAATAACAGGAAAAGATGCTCAATCTCACTAGTCATTAGAGAAACGCAAATTAAAGTCACAATGGAACATTATTTCATACCGTTGGGATGGCTACTATAAACAAAACAGAACAAAACGGAAGGTAACCAACTGCTGGTGAAGATGTGGAGAAGTTGGAACTCCTATGCACTGCTGGTGGGAATGTAAAATGGTTCAACTGCTATGGAAAAGTCTGGCAATCTCTCGAAAAGTAAACAAAATGTTACCATATGATTCAGCAATTTCACTCAAACATATACTTGTACACTAATGTTCATAGCAGCATTATTCACAACAGCCAAAATGTGAAAACAACCCGTGTCCATCAACAAATGAATGAACAAAATGTGGTCAATGTGTACAATGGAATATTATACAGCCTTAAAAAGGAAATTCTGACACATGCTACAATGTGGATGAACCTTGAAAACATGTTGAGTGAAATAATCCAGTCACAAAATGATAAATGCTGTATGATTCTACTTATATGAGGTACCTAGAGTAATTAAATTCACAGAGACAGAATATGGAATGATGGTTGCCACGGGCTGGGGGTGGGAGGGGAAGAGGAGTTAATGGGGACAGTTTCTGGAGTGATGAAAAAGTTCTGGAGATAAATAGTGTTGATGGACATATAAGAGTATGAATGTACTTAATGCGCCTGAATTGTACACCTAAAAATGGCTAAAATGGCAAATGTTACTATATTTTACCACAATAAAAAAAATAGTCGGCCGGGCGCGGTGGCTCACGTCTATAATCCCAGCACTTTGGGAGGCCGAGACGGGTGGATCACGAGGTCAAGAGATCGACACCATCCTGGTCAACATGGTGAAACCCCGTCTCTACTAAAAATACAAAAATTAGCTGGGCATAGTGGTGCACGCCTGTAGTCCCAGCTACTCGGGAGGCTGAGGTGGAAGAATCGCTTGCAGGTTGCAGTGAGCCGAGATTGCGCCACTGCACTCCAGCCTGGTGACAGCAAGA